TTTTAGTATTGACGCCACATTTTTTTCTAGCAACAAATGATTTTTCTGACACTGAAATTTGCTATTTTTAGTGTTACATAGCAAATTTTGCCGCTAAAGAATCTATGCCCAGTAGCGGAAACAGGGATAGGACATCCAGGGCTAATGCCCTACTCCTGAACCTAAATATCCATTAAAATTTACATTTTAAAACCTGAAATAAAGGTAAATTATGTAAATTATACTCCCTCCATTTCATTTTGATCATCACCTAAGAGCATGTACAATGGCAGGCTATAAGACAGCTATAAACATATTTTAAAGAGATAAATGAAGAGAGAAGAGCAGGGGGCTATAGATCTGTAGCCAGCTGCAGAACGGACTCCAAGATATAATGTGAGTATAACAGGTGGGACCAGGTATTAATATTATACAATAGTAAGCAAATATTGTATGAATTGGCTATTACATTGGCTATAAATGATATGGAGTTAGTAGTTGGCTATACTATTAAACTTGCTCTAAGCAAAGAGCGCGGAGACCAAGGACAATAAAACATTCATCATTCTATAATTAATTATCATCGGTTAAGGTGCTACGTTGCTTTGTGTTCTAAGGATTACATCAAGTTTTAAATATTACATGTAGTTAGACCAATAGAAATTAATCTTGGTTAGTTGCATGCAGTGCATTCAATTATGCTCACTTATTCTTGGCACAAATAAATAAAGATGCAATTGTTAGAGGATATACTTGGCACAAATAAACAAAGATGCAATTGTTAGAGGATGATTAATTATTTTGGGAAGACCTTAAAAATGTTATGTGATGATTAATTAAACTGTGATAGAGGGAGGAGTACTAGGTTAACTCTAGACTTGAGAAAATTCTGGCTACGCCACTGTCTATGCCTACACCATCAATCCTGTTATCTTGTCCCCCAGAAATTTCTTCCTAATTGCCATCTACCAGTCATCCTCGTCTTTAATTTACATCCATGCTGAGAAGTTTCCTGTATAGACATATCGCTAGCTGATCATCCCCTTCCCCATCACATTGAAGTTGATTCGATCATTAGATCTGAACTGTATTAGGGCATGTATGTAGGTAGAGTCTAATATAAGCTCTCTATATTAATAAATATTACTAGAGACTATCCTCCTACAATAGTAGAGACAATAATATTTCTAAATAATTAATGCACTAAATATTTTTTATTATACTTATTTCCTTTTTTACACCCTCATACAACAAACTTTTCGTGAATAAATGCTAAGAGTCGACTCTGAGCCGTTATCATGCGTAGCGACGATGTTTCTCATTCATTTCCTCTCATTCTTCCACGCCACTAAATTTACTTGCATGACAACGAAGAGAGCATGTTATTAGACTCTGAGCCATTATCATGCGTAGCAACGATGTTTCTCATTCATTTCCTCCCATTCTTCCACGCCACTAAATTTACTTGCATGACAACGAAGAGAGCCCGTTATTAGACACCATTGTACATGCCCTTATTACGCGTCTCCCGCTACAAGCATTGCATGACCTAGATTAGGTAAAGTGGACGTAACTCGATCAAGTGGTTAGGTTTGTCGCGGTGAAACTAGTTTATTTGGGTTTAAATTCTAGACTTGATGATACGGGTGCTCTGTATTAATAGCTAATTATTCTTTTAATGATAGGTGACGTATCTATCGATCAATAGCGAGGCAGTCACGGTGACTTCGTTAATTTTAAGATATGCAAACCCAGTCTTCCAGAGATGCTTATAGAGATAGGGTGTGTATTTATAGACATGACTTTGATATGTCACTCTAGTCTTTCAGAAATATTTGCAATAGCATGTGTATTTATAGGGATGATTGTGCACGTATTCTACGTCTTTGCTGTGTTTTTTTAAAAGAAAAACATGACCTAGATTAGAGGGTATTGAGCTATCACGGAATTTGGGAAATAAAAACACCGGGAATCTATCTATTATATTATTAAAGGAAAAAAAAGAGCCTCTACGTTCACTCTCATGGCCTAAAAATTCTCACATTAATCGGAGAAAAAGAAAAGACAGAGTCCATATAGAAATACAATTTAGAAATAGCTGAAATTCGGAATTAAAAAATAAGGAATATTAGAAGAGGAGACTAGAGTCCATATAGAAATACAATTTAGAAATAGTTGAATTTCGGAATTAAAAAATAAGGAATATTAGAAGAGGAGACTAGAGTCCATATAGAAATATAATTAGGAAATAACTGAAATTCGAAATTAAAAATAAGGAATATTAGAAGTAGAGTATAGAGTCCATATAGAAATACAATTAGGAACTAACTGAAATTTCGGAATTAAAAAAAAGGAATATTAGAAGTAGAGTATAGAGTCCATATAGGAATTTAAAACTAACTAAAATTTGGAATAAACATAATAAAATTAAAAGTAGAGGTTAGAGTCCGTATAAAATACAATTTACAAATAACTAAAATTTAAAATTAAGAAAAACATGGGAAGAAGAGTTTAAAGTCAACATAGGAATACAATTTACAAATAACTGAATTTTGAAATTAAAAATTAAAGAATATTGAAAGATAAGTTTAGAGTCCACATAGAAATACAATTAGAAATAATAAAAAATCAGAAATAAAAATAAATAATATTGGAAGAAGAACATAAAGTCTATATAGAAATACAATTTACAGAAAATTCGGAATTAAAAAAAAGAAATATTAAAAGACGAGTCTAGAGTCCATATAAGAATAAATATAATTTACAAATAACTAAAATTTGATATTAAAAATAATTAATAACTAACAGGTATATAAAATACAATATGAATATTACACATTAGTAGTTTTGCAAAGTTATTGCAAAATTTAAAATTATGTTGTCATTTTAATATATTTGAATAATATAATGAGAAAACATATATGCTATTATATGAGAGAAAATATAATGATGCTAGCCACGCAATCTGCGCGGGCCACCATGCTGGTTATCTTTATCGGCGACACTTTCGTGTTCAATTTATAGCAACTAGCAACTATCAGGTCTATCCGTATTTAAATCGGTTTTATCTACAATTTTTACCTGTCCTGGTCACGCTGGTTCTATCCGATTGAGTTCCTATTGATCATTCTTTTTTTCAACATCAGCGTTGGGTCCGCATCGGCGGCGAGTAAACTAGAGCCCATATAGCTTCCGGTATTTTTTTTATCCTTTTTTCGCTGTTTTCTTATCAAACGCTATCGGTTTATTTTTCTTCTGTTTTTCTCGTATTTCGCCTTTTTTTTATCTCGTCCGATCCATCACACGTACACCCCGCCACCGCCGAGACATACCCTAGCTAGCGCTGGCTATCGAGTGGATTGAGACTCGATTTTTGGAAAAATCGGAAAGAGTAGATCGAGTGAATTTGAGAGATTTGATTTTTTGGAAAAAAAAAGGGAAAGAGGAGGTCGAGTGGATTTGAGAACGGAAATAGCAAATCGAATGGATTAACTAATTTTGGGAGATTTAGACGGATGCCCACGCCGGCCGGCCACCCCTCCGGCACCGTCATCGACACCCTCGACATGGATTGCCTCACCCCTGACGCTAGCTTCATCAGCCCCCCCGCGAACCTGCCTGCCGCCACCCCCGGCGGCCTCGGCAACCCCGACGGGTGCTGCTGCGCCGCCCTGCCATCCACCGGTGACTGGTGCTCGTTACGGCGATGCCATCCTAGAACACGCAATGCCACCGGAAGTCGAGGACGAGGATGAGGCCGGCCGTCACGATAGGCGAATATCCTGCACCGGAAGTCGCCGTCCCCGTCGAACCACAGTGAGAAGCGCGCGGTCGTGGGGATACGGTCAGGGTGATCCATGGTGGTGATAAATGAGAAGTTCACACTGTGGTTGTGGAAGAAGCCGAGATGGGAGAAAGAAGGAAGAAAACGGAAAATAAAGTAAATGGATGGAAAATGTGACGATAATGGCATGGTTTTAATTTTGTAAAATTTTAATGACATGGCTATGAATAGACGAATTGTAATGATATTTTTCTGTATACGCAAATTGAAATGGTATGATCCAATTAACCTTATTATATATGTTTGAGCAAAGGATTTAAAATATCTTCATGAGTAAAGTCCATCACCGGTCCCTAAACTTGCAAATCGACCGTTCAGGTTCTCAAACTTGTTTGACTATGTCATCCCGATCTCTAAACTTGCAGATCATACGTTTAGATCATCCAACTTGTTCAGTTGTGTCACCCCGGTCCCTAAACAGGACGGTCTAAAAACTTTATATCAAAAAATAATTCATAACTTTTTCATGTGAACTCTAATGAACACAAACTTTATATCAAAATTTTAGCCCTCGACGCGACCTACAACTTTGTAGTTGAAAAGTTTTTGAATTAAAACTGTTTAGGGTCCCAAAATATTGTTGCATGTTTATAGATTTTGAAATTTTAATTTTAAAATTACATTTTGGGAAAAAATGATTTAAAATAAAAAAAATCAACTACAACTATTGTAGATCGCGTCGAGGGCTACAAGTTTGATATAAAGTTTGTCTCCATTAAAGTTCACATGAAAATGTTATGAATTATTTTTAAATATAAAGTTTTTAGACCGTCCTATTTGACCCAGATGATATTCAAATCCAAGTTTAAAAACCGGGGTGACATAACTGAACAAGTTGGAGGACCTAAACGAGTGATCTGCAAGTTTAGGGACCGGGATGACACAGTAAAACAAGTTTGAAGACCTGAATGATCGATTTGCGAGTTTAGAGACTGGGATGACACAACGGCACAAGTTTAGAAACCGGTGATGGACTTTACTCTATCTTCATTTCCGCACAACGTTGACTGGGTCATTACATCATTTTCCGTAAGTATGTTTAAGCATGTGAACAAATCAGATGTGGACTTGATTTAGTCTTTTAATTTGTTACTTAAACGCGTACTCTCATACAATTAATGTATGCTGGATTTAGTCTTTTTGGTACTTAAACGCGTACTGTCATACAATGTGGACTGGATTTAGTCTTTTTGCAAACATCAGAAGGATGTTTCTTTAAAACTATTCTTGCACCCGAATGGTTGTTGGCGGCCGGGCTGCTATTTATACATGCATACTAGCTAGATCACCGAACACAAAACCACAAGAACAAACTTCTTGAAATTCAACATGGATTCGAGATCAGCTTTGCTACTACTTGTTCTGCTAGTTTCCCCCTTTTTCACCAATGCATCGAGCAGAGTAAGATGCTTCCTTCTTTCAGGAAAAATGTAATTTAATTTGCCTAGATTTTTCCTCAGGAAAGTTACTGATACTGATTCATGAAACCTTTTACATCGAAATTTCAGCTCTACATCGTGTACATGGGGGAGAAGAAGCATGATGATCCGTCTGTTGTCACGGCATCGCATCATGACACGCTTACTTCTGTTCTTGGGAGGTACAAGGAGTTCAAGTCCTAACTTCTTATAAATTTTACCGAGCACGGCAAGCGATAGAACTGGTTGCTCATGTTTAATTTTGTGGTTTTTTTGTCAATATATGCAACATAACAGTAAGGATGGCGCCATGAAGTCTATAGTGTACAGTTACAAACATGGGTTCTCTGGATTTGCAGCGATGCTCACCGAATCCCAAGCTGAGGAACTTGCAAGTTAGTAATCATCAAAGCTACAAATTATAATATTGGCACTAGCATGTTGTGTCAGTGCTACTATTTGCTTGCATGATTATTAATTAACAAACTTAATTATGAATTCCTGGTGCAGGATTACCTGAAGTCATCAGCGTGAAGCCTAACACTTACCATCAAGCACAAACGACTCGAAGCTGGGATTTTCTCGGCCTTAACTACAACGAACAATCAGGTCTTCTAAAGAAAGCAAAGAACGGTGAAGATGTCATTGTCGGTGTCATCGATTCAGGTATATAAAACTACAGTACAATACGCTATATATATATATATTCTAAACCAAAATCACTTGCATTAATATAAGTAGAATTCCAGTAGTTAAAGCTTTGACGAAACGTAACAGGTATATGGCCCGAATCACGAAGCTTCGATGACAATGGCTACAGTCCCGTGCCAGCACGATGGAAGGGCAAGTGCCAGACCGGCGCGGCGTTCAACGCCACCACGGGTTGCAACAGGAAGATCATCGGCGTACGATGGTACTCGGGCGGCATTCCCGACGAGAACCTGAAGGGCGAGTACATGTCGGCGAGGGACCTCGGCGGCCACGGCACGCACGTCGCCTCGACGATCGTCGGCGGGCAGGTACGGAACGTGAGCCACAGACAGGGCGGCGCCCTGGCTGCCGGCACGGCGCGCGGTGGGGCGCCGCGCGCGCGGGTCGCGGTCTACAAGGTGTGCTGGGGCCTGCGCGCCCAGTGTGGCGGAGCCGCGATCCTCGCCGCCATCGACGACGCCATGAACGACGGCGTGGATGTGCTGTCCCTGTCGATAGGAGGCGCGGGCGAGCATTACGAGACGCTCCACGCCGTGGCGAGAGGGATCCCCGTCGTGTTCGGTGGCGGGAACGACGGCCCCACGCCGCAGATCGTGAGGAACACCGTGCCGTGGGTCATCACGGTGGCCGCCTCCACGATCGACAGGGCCTTCCCCACGGTGATATCGCTCGGGAACAACAAGAAATTTGTGGTAATTAAGTAACCATGCTATTTCGTCAATAACTTGCAAGTTATATGGACTATGAATTGCATGACGATTGCTATATGGACTATGAATGTTTTACTGCACAGCTACACTGATGTACTCCTATAGCTTGATGTGGGTTATTTAACCTTTGTATATATTTGCTTGCAGGGGCAATCTCTTTACTACAATGCAACAGCAAGCAGCACCAAATTTCAAATGCTTGTTGATGGATCAAGGTAACAAAACCAATAGTGATCATGTTCAAGTTTGTTAAAATCATGATCCTGAATCGGAATCGAATACATAAAAATCGTAAATTCTACCTGTATAAAATCATAGAATCATACCTCTTAATTAGGATGGTAAAGTGCGCAAAATGGTATGGCAGAATCGAGATTTAATTTAACAACCTTGATCATGCTAAGCTAGTATCATTAGTCATCACATTTGATAGATCGATCACTCTGCTTTCTTTAGATCCTGATTATGAATGGATTGCCGTGTGCAGCTGCGACACGCAGACGTTGGCGTCGATCAACATCACCAGCAAGGTCGTGCTGTGCTCGCCGCCGTCGCTGATGCCACCTCGGCTGTCGCTGGGCGACATCATCGGCCGTGTCATCAAGGCAGGCGCCAATGGCCTCATCTTCGTGCAGTACTCCGTCAGCAACGCCCTTGATTTTCTGAATGCCTGCAGCCGCGCCAGCGTGCCATGTGTACTGGTGGACTACGAGATCACACGCAGGATCGAGTCATACATGACCAGCACAAGGTGAGCTCGAACTCTTGATACCATCCCATTAACATCTACTCTCCAATACGCAAAACCAGCTTGAGTACTGTACATGAATGATCTTTTGATGTTTCTTCTCTCATTTTTCAGCACGCCCATGGTGAAGGTGTCGTCGGCCATGACGGTGGTCGGGAGTGGGGTGCTCTCACCAAGGATCGCTGCATTCTCGTCAAGAGGACCGAGCTCCTTGTTTCCCGGAATACTGAAGGTGACATGTTGATCTTTGATGTTCTACAAACAATGAAAATACCTTATATTACTGTGTAGTTGTGACGATGGCGTCAGGTTTTTTGAACGTCTCAAAACTAACCTGTTTGTCGGTTCAACAGCCTGATATTGCTGCGCCGGGAGTCAGTATCCTCGCAGCTGTGGGTGATTCGTACGAGCTCAAGTCTGGGACGTCCATGGCGTGCCCGCATGTATCAGCAGTGGTGGCGTTGCTCAAGATGGTTCACCCGGACTGGTCGCCTGCCATGATCAAGTCCGCCATCGTCACTACTGGTACTTAGATTAATCTGTTTCCAATAATTCGTTGCTTTTAGCTTAGTTAGGACTAACCAGTATACATCTCTCTTGATTGCAGCTTCGGTGACAGATCGTTTTGGCATGCCAATCCAAGCTGAGGCAGTGCCAAGGAAAGTGGCTGACCCATTCGACTTCGGTGGTGGCCACATCGAACCGAATAAAGCCATTGACCCTGGCCTAGTATATGACATTGATCCAAGCCACTACACTAAGTTCTTCAACTGCACCCTTCCTGAAGCTGAGGATGACTGCGAGTCCTACATGGAGCAAATCTATCAGCTCAACCTCCCGTCAATTGCAGTGCCAAACCTAAAGGACTCTGTCACGGTTTGGCGGACTGTCACCAATGTTGGAGAAGCAGAAGCAACTTACCATGCAGCGCTTGAGGCACCGGTTGGTATGACTATGTCAGTGGAACCTTCGGTGATCACATTCACTAGGGGTGGTAGTAGAAGTGTAACATTTAAGGTGACATTCACAACAACACAGAGAGTACAAGGTGGCTACACGTTTGGGAGTTTGACATGGCTAGATGGTAACACACACTCTGTGAGAATTCCGATTGCAGTTCGCACCATAATCCAGGACTTTGTTGCTGATACTTCATAAACTTTTAGCTAGAGATAGTAAATATCTTCATGCAAAGTTGGGTTGTACATTTTTTTACAGAAGTCAATGTGATCCATGTCAATCTGGTGCAATACTAGAATTGTAAGACTGAAGTTCAAATTGGTATTGCATTTCTTTGTCCATGGTTATATAAACCCGACTTTTCCTCTCCCCTAGTAAACCCTAACTACCGCCGTGCTTTTCAACCTCGCCGCCGCCGGAGCGGGTCGCCGGTGTGCGGGCCAGCTGGGATGGCGGCGGCGAGGCTTCCTCCTCTATTCTTCCTAGGGTTGGGGTGGCGCTATGGGTCTATTTTCGATCTGGCGAACGTCGCTATGGTGGCGGCGCCGATGGTGGTGGCGGCGGGGCCTGTTTGCGCCGGGAGGTGGCGGCGGTGCCCGGTGGCGGGGACGCCCTGGTGGCCGGCTAGGCGGTGGCGGTGAAGCTCTGGCGAATAGCGCGGTGGTAGAAGCGCCGATGGTGGTTGCGGCAAGTGCCCGTTGGTGGTCTGCCGGCGCGATGGTGGTGAGGGCGCTGGTGGTGCTGAGGCAGCTGATAGTGGAGGTGGCACTCCGGTGATGTGCGGTCGTGGTTGCTGAGGTGGCTAGAACGTACAGGAGGCGTCGGTCGTGCTTGGTGGGCGGTGGTGGCGTTGGAAGGTGACAGAGGCTAGTCCTCCACCCCTTACTCTGCCACTGGCGGCCAGCATGGCGTTGGTGGTCGATGGTTGTGGTTTGGCCACGACTGTTTGTGACGACGGCAACGAAGGTTTTCGATGGCAGCGTCCTAGGGACAGCGGCGATTTGGCGAGCTCCGACGCCCCGTTCTGTGCTCGCTTGAGCTAATGGTGCGATGGTCGTCGACATGCTTGATGCAGATAAGGATGATGGCAACGGAGGCTCTTGGCGGCAGCGTCCTAGAGACAGCAACTGCCACGTGGCGTCAGTGTCAAGGTCTGCTTGCGGATATGTGTGAATAGTAATGGAGCATCTCCGGCAAGCTGATGGCAGTAAAGGCAAGGTGCATGTCATGCTAGATGGCTCAATGGTACTCTAGGAGCTGCGTGAGTTCAATGGTGTGCGGAAGACGGTGGTAGCGCGGCAAGGCGGTTTCATGGTGCAATATGGGCGTTCGAAATGTGGCATCGACGTAAGGGGTTTTGGACGGCAACAGAGGAGAGCAGGTATAGCAGTTGGCAGCATATGGTGGTTGAGTTATGTAGAGACAGAGATGGTGCGGCGACGGGTAGCATGGACTAGTTCTGTTTCTCCTCTTCCCCCTACTCGCACTTGGTTGGATAGATTAAGTCCTTGAAGAAGGTTGAAGCTAAGTCTTCTAGCTTTTATTTTTTGTGTTTGTGTGTGTTTTTCTGTGTGAGATTTAGAGTAAGAACTCATGTAATATTTTGGCTGTGTATATCCTTTGTAGATATAAAGGCCGGATTAATGAAAAATCCACTATCTAAAAAATAATCTAGCTGTGGTTGTCCTTTTTGAACATATGAGCAATTTTATAGTTCTTAATCTATTGTAAATTTGGTACCTCTTGGTACCTAAGTACTAGGAGGTACTAAATTTTACAATAAAATTTTGGTACCTCATGGTACCTCCTCAAGGACCGTAAAATTGCTCTTGAACAGATAGTCATGAATCATGGATGAAATTTTCTAAACCTTTTATAGACTGTCGGTGTATGTATCAGCAATAATAAATGGGGACTACGTACGAGATCTAAAAGCAAAGGATGCATGGCGACAAATGTTTAGACATGTTCAGACCCTCTCGATGAGAGATAATACTCTACAGTTTTTGGTCGATTGTACCTACCTGGTGTATTGATCTGTTGATCTGATCTTGTGCTGGAACCAGTCCAACTAGATTCAAGTCTTAGACTAGACACGGGTGCTCGTATTTACGGCAAATTATTATTTCAGTGACAGGCGATGTACCCATTGACAACGAGGCACCCATAGTGACTTTGTTAATATCAAGATATGCCGACCCAATCTTCCGAAGTGCTCATAGGGGTGTACCCGTCAACAACGAGATACCCATGGTGACTTCGCTAATTTCAAGATATACCGATCCAGTCTTCCGGAGATGCTCGTAGGGATCGGGTGTGGTGTATGTGTTCATAAGGGTGAGTGTGCGCGTATTGTGATCAATTGGATTTGTATTGTTTTTCATAAAAGAAACCACAAATGCAACAAACTCCTTCCCCCGCAAAAAAGAAAACCACATTGTCGAGTCCAAATTATAATGAGCTTGTATCGAAAATGAATGGATTTTTAAAATTTCTTCTGCATGTTTTTTTTCCCAAAAACTTCTAACTTGTTCACGGTTAGTTTGCATGGAGATTTGTGCCGTGTGGGGTGAGGGAAAAAAATAGGGAGTGTCCATATGTCATTTGATAGAAAACATCTCTTAAAATTGTGCGAATTTTGGACTTTCCGATTGCATTAAGATTAGTGCTAGGCAAACTAACCCTAAAATCCCCTTCCTTTCTCCTCCTCCTCCTCCTCCCGACATCCCCTCACACCGTTGCCCTGTCACGAGCACCTGATCCATGCCGACGAGGCCACTTCCGCCACCTCCTATGCCCCATGTGGCACTGCCCGGCCTCACCAGCTGGGCGAAATGGGTGAACGGCGCCGGCGAGATTCCCTCCCCTCCCCCTCAGCGGCCGGCTATCCGCCCCTCCCCTTCCCCGTCTCTGTCACGCCTCGAACTAGTACCGACCGGAACTAGCCCGCGACGCTCCAAATTGACCTGTTAATCGATACCAGTCCCAGGAAACAGTGCTGGTATCACAGGGAGACAGAATATCACAGCAACAGAGGTCTCTTTATTATAGAGTAGAAGTACAGTCATGTTGGGCTGCGGACAGATCCCGAGCTCACAACTGCATTATAAAAGGAAAGCGGAAGCCAGGACTTGGACCAATCATCACAGGCGCGACTTGGGAACCAGGCCGAAACGCTAAAACTCATCGTAACCAGCTTGCTCCTGGAAGAACTCCTCATCAGCAGGATCCGCTTCATCTTCGTCAGCAACTGGGGGGATATTTATATAGAGCAAGGGTGAGTATGGGAGTACTCAGCAAGCCAGGGGAAATAAGTGTTTAATGCAGGCTTCAAGGAAAGGCTGTTGTTTTTGTAATTGATTTTATTTGAACTCTTTTTCTAAAACAACTGGGTGAGTGCTTCTCAAACGACACGGATGAGACAGTGCGTCTCGTCCGGTCGGAGTATGTGCAATGCATCAGTCTTTAGGATTGCAGCAAGGTTGGCACCCGGCCAACAGCTTTTCAAACGGCCACCCGGGCCAACAACTTTTCAAACGGCCACCCGGGCCTAGCTGATCCCATCAGCTGCAGATTTTTCAAACATCGAACCCCTTTTCACAACAGCAATTTCACAAGCAGTAGTCAAACAAAACTACGCTAGGAATCACCTCACATCCGCCCATGACCGTGGGCACGGCTGTTCGAACAGTTTGTTAACCTCTGCAGAGGGGGTACACTTTACCCACACGACATTACTAACCCGGATCACCCAGCCCGTGGGGATCAGCCACGTCGGGAGACCTCCAAGCTTTCATGACAAGGCATTTCGAAAGCCGATACAGGTTTACCATATGCCGACGAGAGGGGTCCCAGACCAACAACAGGTTAGGTCCCAGACCATACTGTGCCAGGAAGCCCAGGGGTCCTCCCCGACACCACCCCGGCGAATCCACATGTCTCTCGGCATCAAGGCTCCCCTGATAAGCTAGTTACTCAGCCAGGGGTGTCCCATTCCACCCATGTGGTCGTACTGGTCTTATGTTCGGATGAAATTCCAAGGAAACGGTCCTTAAGTGCAAGAGCGGGAAACCGTACACCCGGTACGTTCCCCGGTCCGCGGTTTTGGAAGTTCATTTAGTTCGCAGGCACCGACCCAGGTGTCGGGTTTTCCAAGTCTTTTGTAAAACTCCAGTTTTACCCAAGTTGTTACTCAGATTTTAAGTTTGAAGGCGACCGTCGATACTTGCACAGAGTGTACGAGTATCGAGGCGCAACTGGGTGGTTACAAGGGGACATGGTATAGCAATTAACAAAGGAAGGATCAAATGCGACAAATTAGGTAGATCCGCCAATCTGCCTTGCAGACGGGACAAACAGATTAAGTGCGACCCTATCAATGCATAATATTTTGCAAGCAATATAATTAAATTTCAAATATAGGCTCAAGATGTTCAAAGGTGGCTTGCCTTGCTCGAGATCTGGAGCTTGATCCTCGAAATCCTCGCACTGCGGGTCTTCGGGCTCCGAAACTACACGCAAAACGGGACAACTCAACAAACGGCGGAAATAAAGCCCTATTAATGACCTCTAAGCGTGCCATTAGATAGATCTCGAGATTTGAGGAATTTTGGAAGTTGAACGGAGCCAAACGGATTTACGGTTGGGAAGATATTGAATTTCTAAGATTATTGGATTTTTGGTCTAACGGAAAAAGGATTTAATTAAATCCTTTTTGGAAAAGAAAAGGAAAAGAAAGGAGGGAGGGAATATAGACTTTTCTCGGGCGGCTAGGGCGCGGCCCAATAGATTTGGGGCGGCTCGACCGAGCTTAACGGGCCGGCCGGTCCAAGAAGGCGGCCCAAAGCGGCCCAAGACGCGCGCGCGCGGGAGGGATGAGAGAGAGGGAGCCGGTGGATCGGGCTCACCACGCGTGGTCCTGGGTGGGACCCGCTTGTCAGCGGCTCGGCTCACCGTGCGGAGGGAGCACGCGACGCACGCGCGCGGGCGGGGAAGGGACGCGGTGCATGCGCGCGGTCCGCGGTGGACGCAGGTGCGGCGGCCCACGCGCAGCCTCACGGCTCGCGGTGGATCGCGCGCACGCGGAGGGACCGACCGGGGTCGGCCCGACCCGGTCTGGCTGAGCTGGCGCCGACGTGGCGCCTACGTGGCTGCCACGCGGGCCGGCGGGAGGTAGACGACGACCCGGCCGCGAATGGACGGCGGGCGGCGGCGGCGAGCGGCGGAGCGAACCACGGTGATACGGGCAACAGCGAGCACACCGGGCGGTTGCACGGGAAAAGGGGAGGCGAGCCAACGGCTCGGATTTGCCGGGGGTTGCTCGACGGCGGCGGATTGCGGCGGCGGCAACCGGCGGCGGGAGAAGGGGAAAACGGCGACGAAGCTACGAGGGGCTAATTCCCGGCGGTGAGAGCATCTACGCGGCTTCGGGAACTCGATGCTAGCGTCGGATTGGGCGGAGCTACGCCGAGCGGCGCTTCCGAGCTCGAGCGGCGACGGCGGCGAGCACACGGCGAGCGACGGCTACGGTCGGGGCGGCGCCGGCTAACTATGGGGAGGTTACTCGAGCTACTACCGAAATCTAAGGGGAGGAGATGGAGCGAGGAGGAGGAACGGAGAGAGACACTACCGTGCGGGACGGGGCGCTGTGACGAGAAGCCGACAGCGCGGGAGTGATCTCACCGGCCTCGGGCCGAGGAAGAGGAAGAAGAGGGCGCGCCCGGAGTCCCCTTCCGCGTCCACGAACGCACCGGTTCTCCCAGCGCTTGGCGATGGACGGCGGAGGCGAGGCAGAGCACGGAAGCGGCGGCAACGGTGAGGAGGCGAATGGGAGAGGGAAGGAAGGGAGGGGGAAGACGGGTTTAAATGGGCGGAAATGTCGGTTTGGGAGAGAGGAACCGACATGGGCGGTCAAGCCGGCGAGCTGGCGCTCCGGCTAGCGTCCAAAGCGGCGACAGGAGGTGACGCCGGCGAGAGGGGAAAAAGGGAGGAAAGGGGAAAAGGAGGGAGAGAAAGGGGGCTCGCCCCTTTGCCGAATCGGGAAAAGGAGGAGGGAGCGGGGCGACGCGGCAGAGGGAAAGGAGAGCTCGGCCTTCGCCTCTTGGCGGCTTGCGCGCGGAGTGGCGGGGGCCGGGTGATGACGACGGCGATGACGGTGGGATGGTTTGGAGCGGCGCGACGACACGGGCGACAGGCGCGGGCTGGCGCGGCAGAGGGTGACGGCGGCGGCGACCGGGCGGTCGGCCACTCGGCACGCGCGCGCGGGAAGCAACGGGAGGCGCAGACGACACGGCTCGGGCGGAAAACCACGCGGGCGCGCGCGCGAGCAACGGCGCGCGGGGCTGGCTTTGCGAGAGGGGAGCTCGCGCGAGAGGAGGGGGCGCGGAGAGAGAGGCGCTCGACGCGGCTCGCGCACACGCGAGCAGCGAGCGGGGGGGGGAAACGCGACGGGGCGGGGAGGGAGCGAGAGAGAGAGAGAGCGCCCGGGAGAGAGAGGGCCGGGGAAGAGATGGGCCGAGCGGAATTCGGCCCATCGAACCCGGGGAAGCAAACTAGACTTTTGCGGAGGGATTTGATTTGGAAGGAATTGGATTCGGAATTGAACTCGACGATAGATCGGGGATTGAGATCTTGAGATGGCACGGACACTAGACAACAAGCAAAGAAACAAATTTCGCAATTAGGGTTTTTCGGAGATAATTTTCCCGCTAGGCGCCACAACGGAACGGGCGCTACAGTCTCCTCCCTTCTCAAGCCATCGGCGGCAAGATGCTCCGCCTAGCCATCTTCCTCGTCACCGGCGTGTCCTTGTGGCTGGATCCACCACCACACGCCACCACCTCGTAATCACAAATTCGCTATGCCCTCATCACGAACACCGTCCATCTCCCTCCTCCATCCCCATGGCTCTGGTGCTGCCACCAGTCCGCCCATTCCACCTTCCACCGCTAGGCCACCATCTCTAAGCCCGGCGACCTCTCCTTTCTCCCCTTCCCCTCCCACCCCAACCCCACCCTAAGACCCTAATACATCGGACCTCCGTTAGAGTTTGGGTTGTTGCCGGCGCCGGAAAAGAAGAGGAGGTTGCCTGAGTTAGAGAAGAAGCACCTCGAGTACGAATCGCGGAGCACATGTAGTGGGCCAAAATGTGCAAGATTTAGGAATGGATTTTCTATCAAACAGAAGTTTAGTGGTTCCGAAAAAAAAATACTAGTGCATGACGCAGAGAGAGATATATATATATATCGTTACCTCAGCAACAAGGGCTTGTGCATGTAGGCAACATATCCTATGCACACAGGCCCTCACGTGTACACACGTGCACACCAACTAAAAAATATCACCAAAAAATCTAGAAAAAATCAAACACATACTTTCAATTGTCTTACACCTAGGGTTAAAATCTTAACGTCAAATTCATTATATTTTAGCCGTAACAAAAAAAAACAAAAAATCTGACAGTTTAAAGGTTGCAATTTTGTCAGAATTTTATCTTTTTTGTTATTCTCTATGTAGAATGAATTTGAAGATGCGGCTTTGCACGTAGATGTAATACTATTGAAAGTACATGTATGAATTTTTCTAGAATTTTTTGTGATAATTTTTAGTTGGTGTACACGGTGTGTACACGCGAGGGCCTGTGTGCATAGGATACGCTCCCATGCAGGTAGCCAACACGCCAAACTTTTTTTTTCTATTAACTACATACATGTTACATAAATTGAATAAATAATTACATAGGAAATTTGAAGGGTTTATAGATAGCCCAAAATGAATTTACCAAGCAGTTCCATGTAAATTTCACAATGGATTGCATATTTCCAAGCCAATACTCATATGAAGGAAAAGAGATGGCTATGGCAGTTGTGATGATACTAATTAAGCAGAGGAAAAACTAGTTTCGGTGGGTGTGGGAGTTCAGCAAGTTTGACTCTGGGATTTGTTAAACATAAGCATTTCCCTGGGGTTGACTTGTTTTATCACTACTCGAAGGAACGGCTCACAGTTTTGGAAAGGTTTACCAAGAACAAGTAAAATCCCCGTGCTTAATTAACCTCCGCGGCAAGAATAAGCCATAATTTTTAAGCCATCAGCTTCGCTTTTTTACAGCCAGGTGCAGCAGAAGCTTCATCGGAGCCACTATGACGTTATCTGCTTTCGTCGTCACACAAAGTTGATCCGGTCATTACATGTGAAAAAAAAAACATCATTATATATATCCTCTTAGGTATGTCGCTATTAATTTGAACACGATGAACAAATCAAATCACAGTGCTCACCGTACAGCGTGAACCTGGTTTATTAACTAGTACTGTAGTCCCTTTTGTTACGTGTGACTTGACAAAACAATCAACGCGTCAACATGGTGATGCTCTGTTTGAAAAAAAACTGTTCTTGCACACCCATGGTTAATGTTGGATGCTAGCTGCTATTTATACCTGAACGGCTGAGCAGAAGATCAACACCAAACCACAAGAATACACTCCTCGAAATCAAACATGGATTCGAGATCGCCTTTCCCTTCTACTCTGCTCTTTGTTCTTCTACTGGTGCTCCCTGTTTTCGCCAATGCGTCTAGCAGAGTAAGCCGCTTCCCCTTTCAGGGAGACGCGATTTCGTTCTTTGTTGCACGGAAATTACTGATATTGATTCTTGGAAACTTGTTTTTCATTGATTTAATTTTCAGCTCTACATCGTCTACATGGGGGAGAAGAAGCACGATGATCCATCTGTGGTGACTGCATCGCACCATGATGCTCTTACTTCAGTTTTTGGGAGGTATTAGTGGTTCACGTAGTGAATTCTGCATCTTTGACATGAAAAGGAACTCGGGTTAATTCTTCTTTTTTATACGGAAAGTCGGAAACTCGGGTTAATTTTGTGACTTGTTTTCAATGGAACAGTAAAGATGAAGCCATGAAATCCATAGTCTACAGTTACAAGCACGGATTCTCTGGATTCGCCGCAATGCTCACCGAGTCCCAAGCTGATGAACTTGCAAGTAATCATCAACCCCTATGACATCTATTATCTATCTATCTATCTATCTATCTATCTATCTATCTATCTATCTATCTATCTATCTATTATATACTAAAAGTCCATGAAACTTTCTAAAAACACTCTCAAATCGCCATGTGGCTTCCTTAAAACGCTCCTAAATCGCCACGTGGCATTATAATAAATAGAGAAAATTCGAACCATTGATTTTCACTTAAAATAGGTGGACCCATTATTTTGAGCCATTAGATTTAAGCTAATCCGTATCCTCTCATCTCCGAACGCCGCGTACCTCCTCCCCGCACGCAAGACGTAGATAGCTAGGTACGCATCTACTCCTCTCCATCTCCCCTTTTTTCTCCAAGGTTGTTAAGCTACAAAGCATAATTTGTTACAATAAGTTAGAGATATGGAGCCTGCAGGAGCTCGCTGTGCACCATGCATGCTACCTAAATTATAGGAGTGATCACAGTGATACACTTGAACTACACATTCAGTTTATTATACACTTGAACTACTGTTTTTTAATCAAATCAACGGTTTAAGACTCATATTAGTTAGCTATATTTTGGTGGTAAAGAATTATTACATGTTGGTCTTTTTCAATTTATCACATGCACGTATCATTTTCATGAGTCCTCCCCAAAATTGAAGGAAACCCTAAGAATTTCCTTCAATATCAAGTCTAATTTTTTATTCAAATCGGTGGATCAATTATGATACAATAAGGCAATAGTAACTAATTAACTACATACGTACTCTCTCCTCCTCCTCTCCTCTCTCATTCAATTCTTCATTCTTCTAATTTTTAACTAATTAGCAACTTAATATAAAAACAAAAAATAATTAGAAAGCTAAATGATTATAATTCTTAAGTTATATATGGTTTTTAAGTTCAACAATATAAAAGTAAAATATATTACTTCACAAATATAAATATATTTAGTAAAATTAAGATCTATATATGATAAATATCCAATCAATGTTCTTTAAAACATCTTCTAAATAATTCAAGATCTATATTACCCAATTTCACTGTAAATAATACGTCATTTGTAGACACCTATGCGTGTCAACCAAATAAAAAAAATCAAACAAACTATATCACCTTAAATCATCGTACATTCTCAATAGAGCACTTACATGTCACGTGTTATGTCTTAAATTAAAAACAAAATCTTAGAAATTATAGAAAAACACATTTGACCACCGGTTATGAATTAAATATGTATATCCATTATTTTAAACCATTAGATCTATTTTTTTAAAAAAAATCTTAAGCCGCTAGGTGTTACATTTTAATAATTAAAAAATATTATTCGAAATTTTAGGAACAAAACAATAAATCATCGGTTTTTATTTAAATCATTTATAAAAACTAGGAAATAAACCCCGCCCCCACCCCCCAAACTTTACCCCCTCCTCACATATGCACAAACACAACACTACCCGTCCCCTCATCCCCCGGCTCGCACTTTCCCCTATACCCTCCTTGATATTTTTATAACCAATAAAAAGAGAAATAATCAATAATATTAAAGCATACATATCTTTTGAGCCACACATCTGATTCTAATATAAATTGCTCTATTTATAATTAAACCAACAATTTAAAGATCCATAACGCCTATATTTTAAACTTAATTTTTCACTAAAATTAGAACAATTATACATGTTCCTATTTTTTAAGTGCTTAGATATTATTGACTTTCATGACATTATGAGTTCCTCTGCACATTATTGTATATATATAAGCCACACAATGTTTGCGGTTTATAGTTGGTTGAGAAGTTACATTTGTAATTACTAAAATGTTCAGACTCATATTGACTAGGTATTTTCTTTTTTTTAAAAAAAGAAAGATACTATAGATCACACATATATTAGGGAAGGGAGATCTACGATATATCTTTAGAAATTTATATATAAATATATAACAAATTGCGTCAATAAAATATATTCATTAAAAAATAAAATATATTCATTTTCAATAATAGTTATTTAGGATTTGCTAAAAAAAAGAAAGACCCTAAACATTTTATTAAACAAGACAAAACATCACATGTTTCCAAACAAATTAAATCTAACTCCTTTCTAGATAACGAAGAGATCATAGATAATTGTTTATATGAATGTATTAAATATTATGTATTTTAAAAGCTAACAAATAGATTGGAAAAATTATCTAAGCAACACTGATGAGATAAGTTATGGATAAACAGTACTTATGAAATGACAAGTGTCATCTGGCTGATATTCTGCCATCTTATATATTTTTTTCAAACATAATTTATAGTGCATGCCCGCGCGATGCGCGGGCTACCTTCCTAGTTCTAAAAAAAAACCCTATAACATGAGCTTGTTGTCTTGCTTCTTGCATGATATTAATGAACTAATGAGTTTCTGGTGCAGAATTACCCGGAGTTATCACTGTGAAGCCTAACACTTACCATGAAACACACACTACACGGAGCTGGGATTTTCTTGGCCTTAACTACAACGAACAATCAAGTCTTTTGAAGAAGGCAGGCTATGGTGAAGATGTCATCGTTGGTGTTGATACAGGTTGAAAATGACTTACATTCTACCATCCTCACTCAAATGTTTCTCTATTTTGTGTTGGTATTATTAGTTATTGTCCAGATCTTTGATGTTTTTTATGCTCTCCATTCAGTGAATTATATAATAAGTGGCTGTAGCTTTTTTAAGCAAAGGCCAGGAATCTTTTCATTATCTAAAAAATATATAAAATTTGAAAAATTTATCTTTAATGAAACGTGTTGTATAGGGATATGGCCTGAATCACAAAGCTTCGACGACAATAGCTACGGCCCTGTGCCAGCACGGTGGAAGGGCAAGTGCCAGACCGGCGTGGCGTTCAACACCACGGGTTGCAACCGGAAGATCATCGGTGCGCGCTGGTACTCCAGCGGCGTCCCGGACGAGTCTCTTAAGGGCGACTACATGTCACCAAGGGACCTAAACGGGCACGGCACGCACACCGCCTCGACGATCGCCGGCAAGCAGGTTTGGAACGCGAGCCACCACCGGAGCGGCCTGGCCGCCGGCGTGGCCCGTGGCGGGGCGCCGCGCGCGCGCCTGGCGGTCTACAAGGCGTGCTGGGGCACCGCCGGTACGTGCAGCGCCGCCGCGGTCCTCGCCGCCGTCGACGACGCCATCAACGATGGCGTGGACGTGCTGTCCTTGTCGTTGGGGATTGGTAGCGACATCCCCGGGACGCTGCACGCCGTGGCGAGCGGGATGACCGTGGTGTTTGCCGGCGGGAACGCCGGCCCTGCGCCGCAGACGGTGGAGAACGTCGTGCCGTGGGTCATCACGGTGGCTGCCACCACCATAGATCGCTCATTCCCCACCGTGGTCTCGCTCGGCAACAAAGAGAAGCTGGTGGTATGCATCGTGATGATCGACCTTTTTTTTCTTTTTTTTTTCTGTTTGCAAAAGACATCTGCACTGCTTTACAGTTTAAATGTGATAAATTTTTGAACGTCCATCGTCTTAATTCCAGGGACAATCTCTCAACTTCAACGCAACAAAGAACAACAGCAACTATCATATGCTTGTCTTTGGGTCCAGGTAATTGAACGAAATGGTCATGAGAAAGTGATACGAATTCTTCTACACTTAATAAAATAAATAAATCTTGAGCTAGTGATTGATGCTGAGACCAATGCCATTGACACGCAGCTGCGATGAGGAGTCACTAGCGACTGTCAACGTCACTGGCAAAATCGTCCTGTGCTACGTGCCTTTGGAGGCTGCAGCCACCTCGTCGCCGAACCCAGCGTTCGGCACTGCAGCAATCGGCATCGCCAAGGGCGGCGCAAAAGGCCTCATCTTTGCGCACCAGAGAACCAACGTCTTCGATGATCTAGAAAACTGCAACAAGATCCTCCCCGCAGGCTGCATGATGGTCGACTTCGAAATCGCAGCCAGAATCGCCTCCTATTTGAACAGCACAAGGTGAGTTTCGAGCTCTTGAAGACAAGTTACATAGGAATAGAGTCAAAACTTTCAAAAAACTGGCTGTGGTCTGAAAACACTCAAATGTTTCTACATAGAGACTCTTCTACATATCATCTCTTCCAGGAAACCGGTGGCGAAGATATCTCGGGCGGTGACCGTTGTCGGGAATGGAGTGCTCGCACCGAGGATCGCCGCGTTCTCGTCGAGAGGCCCAAGCATCGATTTTCCTGGCATACTCAAGGTAACAAAGACCATGACCTTGACATGGATGAATGTACTACTTTCTATACTCCATATATATGTGAATGTGAGTATGTGACACTACTTTCTGGGTGTTGTCAAAACCTGATTCTGTCCGTGTGTTCAACAGCCTGATGTAGCTGCACCTGGAGTCAGCATCCTGGCAGCTGTGGGCGACTCGTACAAGTTCATGTCCGGGACGTCTATGGCATGCCCACATGTATCAGCTGTGGCAGCGCTGCTCAAGTCGGTTCACCCTGACTGGTCACCTGCCATGATCAAGTCTGCCATTATCACCACAGGCACGTATTCAAGGCACGTTACAAGTTCCTGTCACATGGGAAAAAAATTTGGTGGAGACCGGATGCAAACCCCGTCTTCTGCAGCCCTGCTCTGGATTATTGACGCGTGGATGATGTATCAATCGGACGGGGCGCTCCGCTCGGCTCCAGGCTCACCCGAGCCCGATCTATGTGCGTGCGGCTGATGGCGCTTGATCTGTCCCGGCTCGATCTGAGCGTAAGCGGCTCATGAGCAAGAGGACACCGCCTGCCCGTTCACCGTCAATCCTCCTTCAACCTCCATATATATCGAGGGAGTCGTTGTCGCTTTCTGCCTCTACCCTGGGTTGCCACCGCTTATCAGGCTACCACCGCTACTGTACCAAGTAGCGGTAGATGTGCAGCTCGTCACCGTCGGCGGCGTCAAGGAGAAGCATGCGCCGGACTACGGCAAGAATGGGTCAATGGGCACAAGAAGCAGCACGACCATGACGCCATGACGGCCGCGAAGGCAGACATGGGAAGGAGGTTGTCTCGTACTACTGGCGTAGGGAAAGATAGAGAATTACAGATGTTTTGGACATTTTCGAAGCTGCTCCTGTCGTTGATTGCAGGAGGTGAACATCGATCGAGGAGCAGCCGCTGCTCCCCGGCTGATCTTGAATTCTTGATGGGAAGATGAAGATGAGCCTGCGCGACCGCTGCCGGCCCTACTGGAGAGTGGGGATACGTCGAGCTCGGCACCACATTCGAAGATAATTTTTTCTGATGTAAACCAAATTGCGGCTCAAAATCATAAATTGATTGGTGTCAGTGCCAGATGTGCAAGCCGATGCTATGATGTAATGTGACATCGTTGTTTTGAATTTTGATTTTCAGAACAACACGATGACACACCGCACACAGCACAGGCTAGCGGCGAGTACGGCCACCGCGTGCACACCCATCTACAATCTCGAGCTCCCCTCGCCGGCCCGTTGTCACGATGATGCCGACGCTGCCGTCGAGCGGCGGGAGGCCATGAACGTGGATTCGAAGGCGTCCTACCTCATCCAGATCAAGAACCCCGAGCAGCCGCCATCCTCCGATGGTCACGGCGGTGAGAAGATCAAGCCGCGCGGGCCCAGATCAAGCCGGGACGGGAGGGATCGAGCCTCGAGTTACAAATCAAAACAAAAAAATATCATCTCTCGACATCACAAATCATCGACATCACAAAGCATCCCGTCCTGTTGACGCTCTTCAGCGTGCCATCGCAACATTCTAGCATTCCCCTTGTTCCTGAACAAACGCCTTAGCCGTGGTATTATAGGGAAATACCACATCACCTTAGCAGGAATTCTCTTCTTTGTTAGCTGCCCGTCAACTTCTCCTGGATCGTCCCGTCTAATCTTGTATCGTAGTGCTTTGCAAACAGGGCATGCTTCTAGGTTCTCATACTCCTCACCGCGATATAGGATACAATCGTTCGGACATGCGTGAATCTTATGAACTTCCAGTCCTAACGGGCAGACTATCTTCTTAGCCTCGTACGTTGTCTCGGGCAATTTGTTTCCCCCGGAAGAATGTTCTTGACGAGTTTCAATAAATCGCCAAATGCCTTGTCACTAACCCCATTTTTTGCCTTCCATTGCAACAACTCCAGAGTGGTATCCAACTTTTTGTGCCCCTGCTCGCAACCTGGGTACAACGAAGTTCTGTGGTCCTCCAACATCTTGTCCAATTTATGGGCCTCCTTTTCACTTTCGCAGTCTTCCCTGGCGTCCTGCAACATCTGACCAAGATCATCCGCAACGTCGTTACCATCAGCAGCTATTTCCTCCTCGCCCGTTTGATTTCCTTCAAATCCAACATACTGAGCAAAGTCCGGAATATTGTCGTCTTCCACTTCATCTTCTTCCATTTCAACACCTTGCTCTCCGTGGGATGTCCAACAATTATAGCTTGGCATGAACCCCGACTCAAACAAGTGGAAATGAATAGTCCTGGATGCAGAATACTCCTTCTGATTCTTACACTTATTGCATGGACAACAAATAAAACCCCTTTGCCTGTTAGCTTCGGCCACTCTCAAAAAATAGTGCACGCCGTCAATAAACTCTTTGGACCGCCGGTCAGCGTACATCCATTGCCGATCCATCTACATGAGTCAAAAAAACCGCACACAAATAATTATTCTTACAATAATGACAGTCATACAATAATTATAAGATATCTTTATTCATACAAAAATCATAAAATATCACACCAAATAATTCTTAAAAACTATTTGTAAAGTTTTAAACTAATTTTAATGTGTTTTACTTCTTTTAATTTTTATTTTAGTTTGTTTTCTATTATTTAATATTAACTTTCACTAGAGTTTTCCTTCTCAACTATTTTATAAAACCTTGTTTAGCAAATGAACTAAATTTCTATATATTCTTTCTTCCCCACACACATTTTCTCTCTCATCAACTTACAACTAAATTTTGGAGACAAAAAAAGTGTGCAAAACATAGGTGCAAATGTAGTATGACAAAAAAAACATTGGAGGATGAAGTTGCAAACCTTTTAGGCACATCCGATTTGTATGTAATCACCAAAATAAATTCAATAGAAATTTTGGCATGACCTCCCCTCTTTTTTGAAGAAATTTTGAAGCTTGCTCGGGCAGCTGGAGGAGGAAGAAGACATATATATAGGGGTGGGACTTTAGTCCCGGTTGGTAGCACCAACCGGGGCTAAAGATCACCGGGATCCAACCGGGACTAAAGTTAAGATCTTTAGTCCCGGTTGGTAGCACCAACCGGGGCTAAAGATCACCGGGATCTTTAGTCCCGGTTGGTAAGTTAAGATCTTTAGTCCCGGTTGGTGCTACCAACCGAGACTAAAGATCCCGGGGGGGCCTGACAGGTCCTGACAGCATTCGAACCGGGACTAAAGATGATCTTTAGTCCCGGTTGGTAACACAAACCGGGACTAAAGATCAAATATGCCCGTTACCCTTTTGAACCGGGACTAAAGATCATCTTTAGCCCCAGTTTTTATTGCATCCGGGACTATTGTGGAAATCGGCCGACCGACGAAAGATGGTTTCTCTACTAGTGAAAGGTGAGTACATGTCACCAAGGGATCTTAGCGGACACGGCACGCACACTGCCTCGACGATCGTCGGCGGGCAGGTGTGGAACGTGAGCCACCGGCAGAGCGGCCTGGCCGCGGGCATGGCCCGCGGAGGTGCGCCGCGGGCGAGGCTGGCGGTCTACAAGGCTTGCTGGGGTGACAGCAACTCCACGTGTGGCGACGCGTCCGTCCTCGCGGCCATCGACGACGCCATAAACGACGGCGTGGACGTGCTGTCGCTGTCGCTGGGAGGGTACGGTGAGGTCGCCGGGACGCTGCACGCCGTGGCGAGGGGGATCACCGTGGTGTTCGCCGGCGGGAACGAGGGCCCCGTGCCACAGTCCGTGTCGAACGCCGTGCCGTGGGTCATCACGGTGGCCGCTAGCACCATCGATCGCTCGTTTCCAACCGTGATATCGCTCGGGAACAAAGAGAAGCTTGTGGTACGCACCACCGACCTTTTTCTTTTTTCTGTTTGTTTCTATCTATCTATCTATCTATCTATCTATTCTATTATATTATTAAAACAGCTTTGAAAGGAAGCACCACATTCGCTGTGGAGGCTAGAAATTCCCACATTAATCGAAGAAAAAGAAAAAAGAGTCCAAGTAGAAGTACAATTTAAAAATATCTGAAATTCGGAATTAAAAATAAGCAATATTGAAAGAAGTTTTCATATAAGAACCCAATACGAGATTAATCAAAATTTGAAATAAAAATAAAATAAAATCCAAAATTAGAAAAGGAAAGGAGAGTCCAAGTAGAAATACAATTTAAAAATAGCTGAAATTCGGAATTAAAAATAAGCAATATTGAAAGAAGTTTCCATATCAGAACCCACTACGAGATTAATTAAAATTCAAAATAAAAATAAAATAAAATAAAAAATTAGAGAAGGAAAGGAGAGTCCAAGTAGGAATAAAATTTAAAAATAGATGAAATTCGGAATTAAAAATAAGGAATATTGAAAGAAAAGTTCATATAAGAACCCAATCCGAGATTAATTAAAATTTGAAATAAAAATAAAAATAAATCCAAAATTAACAAAAGAAAATAAAAGAAGAGTTAAGCAGGAATAAAATTTAAAATTAGCTGAAATTCAGAATTAAAAATAAGCAATATTGAAAGAAGAATCCATATAAGAACCCAATACGAGATTAATTAAAATGTAGAATAAAAAAATAAAATAATATCCAAAATTAGAAAAATTAAAAGATAGTTCAAGTAGGAATACAATTTTGAAACAGCTGAAATTGAAAATAAACAATAAAAACAATAAAACAACATAATACGGTATTAACTAAAATTCTGAAATTAGAAAAAGAAAAATAAGATTTCAATTAGGAATACAATTTATAAATAACTAAAATTTGTGATAAAAATAAAGACTATTGAAAGAGAAGACGATCTAAAACACATGACGAGATAAATTAAGTAACAGGCCTATAAAAGAGTAAAGTAGTGGCGGTTGATACGAGATATAAAAATTATTAATAAAACACCAAATAGAATCCTAATGACGATTAAAAGGAGGGACGTCAGGCAGGCCGTGAAGCAAACAAGTAAGACAGTTGCCGGGACTTCTATAAGTAAAAAAAAATAAACCCCATTGATAATTATTTCGATTTTTAAAATCTCAATGACAATAAAAAGGAGAAGCGGCGTGCGGGTGTATAAGAGTATAGTTGCAGAGCCACCGACGGTTGACGGGACTTCTAGAAAATAAAAAATGAATTCCAATGATACTTATGTTCAATTTTTAGAATCACAATGGTAATAAAGAGTAGGCGGCGGACGGGTTGTAGAGGGGTATAGTGGCATCGTTTGATGGGACTTCTAAAAATTATAAAAAATGAAACTACAAGTCCAATTTTTAAATGTTTGTAATTTCTAAAAAGTAAAAAAAAAACGAATGATAACCATGTTCGATTTTAAAATCTCGATGATAATAACGAAGGGAGGCAGCGGGCGAGCCGTAGAGGAGTACAATGGCAAAGCCGCTGACGGTTTGGACTTTGGTGGGACTTCTAGAAAGTAAAAATGAACCCAAACGATAATTATGTTCAATTTTAAAATCTCAATGACAATAAAGAGAAGAGGCACAGTGGACGGGTTGTAGAGAAGTATAATGGCAACATTTGACGGGACATCTAGAAATTATAAAAACGAAACCCATCATGACAATAAACTCAAAAACTATAAAATCCAATTTTTAAAGGTTCCAAGAAGAATGGATTGAAGTAGTGGTAGATCGAGCAAGCAAATAAAGAAGGAGGTGACATAAAAGGTAGCAACTGGAGTGACTTTTAAAAACTATATAATTAGAAACACGAGAATGATAAGGTTTGGTCTTTCAAAGTCTTAAGACAATAAGATAGCTATTTAATAAATTTTAAGTAAAATCATATTAAAAAATATATGATTTTATTTGGGTGCTAGCCGCGCAATTGCGTGGGCCGCCCAGCTAGTTTCTTTCAAAAGACACACCTGCACTATGTGAAAGGTTAATAGTGATTATTTCTTTTTTCATGTCGATTTTAAATCCAGGGACAATCTCTTAACTACAATGCAACAATGAACAGCAGCAACTTTCATATGCTCGTCGATGGGCAAAGGTAACGGAACGAAATGATCATCGCCAGACGCCAGAACAACGCAGCTAGCAGTCAACACATTATATATACGAATATTTCTGCACCTACAAAATTTAACGAGTGACGCTGACCAATGCCAATATATGCCATTGACGCAGATGCGACGAGGACTCTCTGGCGTCAGTCAACATCACCGGCAAGATCGTCCTGTGCTCGGCGCCGTTGGAGGCGGCCAACTCGTCACCAAACAGCTCGTTCGCCGCCACATTCGTCGCCGTCGTGAAGAGACGCGCGAAGGGTCTCATCTATGCGCAGTACAGCGCCAACGTCTTGGTTGGCTTCGAGGACTTCTGCCACCTGTATCTGCCGGCCAGCTGCGTGCTGGTCGACTACGAAATCGCAAGCAGGATCGCCTCCTACGCCAAAAGCACAAGGTGAGAGTTCGAGCTCTTTGGTGACCAACTACATTGGGACAAAGTAATCAGAACCTGGTTGTGCTCCTCTGAAAACTCTGAAATGTTCTTCGTATATTATTTGTTTCAGGAAATCTGTGGTGAAGATATCTCGGGTGGTGAGCGTGGTTGGGAATGGGGTACTCGCACCGAGGATCGCCATGTTCTCGTCGAGAGGCCCGAGCAATGAATTTCCTGTCATCCTCAAGGTGACAACAACGACCTTGATCTTGACATGAATATCCAACAACAATGAGATAATTAACGGCGTTCCTCTTGATTCCTATGTGTGAAATTACCTTCTGATATCCGATTCTGTGTTCAACAGCCTGACATATCTGCACCTGGAGTCAGCATCCTGGCTGCTGTGGGCGACTCATACAAATTCATGTCTGGGACGTCCATGGCATGCCCGCACGTCTCGGCGGTGGCGGCGCTGCTCAAGTCGGTTCACCCGGACTGGTCGCCGGCCATGATCAAGTCTGCCATTGTCACCACAGGCATGTACTCATGCCACACTACAAGTTCAGTGTATATACCTTATATGGGTAACTTAGGACTAACAAACTATTAGTATATATCTCTCTACTATTGCAGCATCGGTGACCGATCGTTTTGGTATGCCAATACAAGCTGAGGGAGCACCTAGGAAGATCGCCGATCCATTCGACTTTGGTGGTGGCCAGATCGACCCAGACAAGTCCATTGACCCTGGGCTTGTCTATGACATTGACCCGAAGGAATACACTAAGTTTTTCAACTGTACCCTTGGCCCTAAGGATGACTGTGAGTCCTATGTGGGCCAGCTCTATCAGCTCAACCTTCCATCCATCGCCGTGCCAGACCTTAAGGACTCTGTCACGGTTTGGCGCACTGTAACCAACGTCGGAGGGGAAGAAGGAACTTACAAGGCATCAATTGAGGCACCAGCCGGTGTGAGGATGTCTGTTGAACCTTCAATTATCACATTCACCAGAGGTGGTAGTAGAAGTGCAACATTCAAGGTGACATTCACCGCAAGGCAGAGAGTACAAGCAGGCTACACGTTTGGAAGCTTAACATGGCTAGATGGTGTCACACATTCGGTGAGGATTCCAGTAGTGGTTCGCACCATAATCCAAGACTTTGTTTCAGATACTTCGTAAATTGTTCTGGAAAAGGTAAATAGACTGTGTAATATTACTTTATACTATTATTTTCATTCAAATGTAATGGGACCAACTTGAGCCAATACTATCTATTATATACTAAAAGTCCATGAAACTTTCTAAAAACACTCTCAAATCGCCATGTGGCTTCCTTAAAACGCTCCTAAATCGCCACGTGGCATTATAATAAATAGAGAAAATTCGAACCATTGATTTTCACTTAAAATAGGTGGACCCATTATTTTGAGCCATTAGATTTAAGCTAATCCGTATCCTCTCATCTCCGAACGCCGCGTACCTCCTCCCCGCACGCAAGACGTAGATAGCTAGGTACGCATCTACTCCTCTCCATCTCCCCTTTTTTCTCCAAGGTTGTTAAGCTACAAAGCATAATTTGTTACAATAAGTTAGAGATATGGAGCCTGCAGGAGCTCGCTGTGCACCATGCATGCTACCTAAATTATAGGAGTGATCACAGTGATACACTTGAACTACACATTCAGTTTATTATACACTTGAACTACTGTTTTTTAATCAAATCAACGGTTTAAGACTCATATTAGTTAGCTATATTTTGGTGGTAAAGAATTATTACATGTTGGTCTTTTTCAATTTATCACATGCACGTATCATTTTCATGAGTCCTCCCCAAAATTGAAGGAAACCCTAAGAATTTCCTTCAATATCAAGTCTAATTTTTTATTCAAATCGGTGGATCAATTATGATACAATAAGGCAATAGTAACTAATTAACTACATACGTACTCTCTCCTCCTCCTCTCCTCTCTCATTCAATTCTTCATTCTTCTAATTTTTAACTAATTAGCAACTTAATATAAAAACAAAAAATAATTAGAAAGCTAAATGATTATAATTCTTAAGTTATATATGGTTTTTAAGTTCAACAATATAAAAGTAAAATATATTACTTCACAAATATAAATATATTTAGTAAAATTAAGATCTATATATGATAAATATCCAATCAATGTTCTTTAAAACATCTTCTAAATAATTCAAGATCTATATTACCCAATTTCACTGTAAATAATACGTCATTTGTAGACACCTATGCGTGTCAACCAAATAAAAAAAATCAAACAAACTATATCACCTTAAATCATCGTACATTCTCAATAGAGCACTTACATGTCACGTGTTATGTCTTAAATTAAAAACAAAATCTTAGAAATTATAGAAAAACACATTTGACCACCGGTTATGAATTAAATATGTATATCCATTATTTTAAACCATTAGATCTATTTTTTTAAAAAAAATCTTAAGCCGCTAGGTGTTACATTTTAATAATTAAAAAATATTATTCGAAATTTTAGGAACAAAACAATAAATCATCGGTTTTTATTTAAATCATTTATAAAAACTAGGAAATAAACCCCGCCCCCACCCCCCAAACTTTACCCCCTCCTCACATATGCACAAACACAACACTACCCGTCCCCTCATCCCCCGGCTCGCACTTTCCCCTATACCCTCCTTGATATTTTTATAACCAATAAAAAGAGAAATAATCAATAATATTAAAGCATACATATCTTTTGAGCCACACATCTGATTCTAATATAAATTGCTCTATTTATAATTAAACCAACAATTTAAAGATCCATAACGCCTATATTTTAAACTTAATTTTTCACTAAAATTAGAACAATTATACATGTTCCTATTTTTTAAGTGCTTAGATATTATTGACTTTCATGACATTACGAGTTCCTCTGCACATTATTGTATATATATAAGCCACACAATGTTTGCGGTTTATAGTTGGTTGAGAAGTTACATTTGTAATTACTAAAATGTTCAGACTCATATTGACTAGGTATTTTCTTTTTTTTAAAAAAAGAAAGATACTATAGATCACACATATATTAGGGAAGGGAGATCTACGATATATCTTTAGAAATTTATATATAAATATATAACAAATTGCGTCAATAAAATATATTCATTAAAAAATAAAATATATTCATTTTCAATAATAGTTATTTAGGATTTGCTAAAAAAAAGAAAGACCCTAAACATTTTATTAAACAAGACAAAACATCACATGTTTCCAAACAAATTAAATCTAACTCCTTTCTAGATAACGAAGAGATCATAGATAATTGTTTATATGAATGTATTAAATATTATGTATTTTAAAAGCTAACAAATAGATTGGAAAAATTATCTAAGCAACACTGATGAGATAAGTTATGGATAAACAGTACTTATGAAATGACAAGTGTCATCTGGCTGATATTCTGCCATCTTATATATTTTTTTCAAACATAATTTATAGTGCATGCCCGCGCGATGCGCGGGCTACCTTCCTAGTTTATACAAAATGTTTTATTGGACTCTTGTAAGAACAATAAGTTCAAGGGTTGTTGCATTTCTTTGTTTGACCCTTTTTAGAAAGATAATCTGGAGAACATATAAATTTGTTTTCTGAGAGTGACAACTGATAATGTGGTAATGGGTCTGCTGATAACTGTAGCTGATTGACAACGCATTCTAAGGGTGGCATGGCTAAGATGGATGGTGCACAGCATGAATGGCGATCAGAGCGGAATACTAGGTCTTTTTTCTCTTAAGATGCCTCCTCGCTTTTACATATCACCTAGAAGTCACTAAAATATTTCCAAAAATTTAGTAAGATAGATTGATTTGATATGTTGTTAGTATTTCTTATGTCGACAGATAAAATCCGCAAGCGCATAGATATACCGCTATAGCACTTCATCTAGGAGTATTCCAAGTATCGAATTTCCACATGGAATAGGTTCATCGAAGAACACAAGACAAAAAATAGGCAAAGGCTAGAGAGGATTTTCTGGTGAGAAACAAGGTCTTTAGAAAGCTTAATTTTAATCCTATCGCAATACTTTAGGCACCGGCTTGCTCGCTGCTACCAGAATACGCTCTACTCCGTATCTGGACAGGGAGGACTACAATGATCTCGATGGCTGTCACGACCTCTACACCAACCTCTAACGAACTGTGGATACGCGGCAAATACATGCCATATAGATATCACGTCTACACTATTAAATACTACTATAGTGCCGATCAAACATTAAAGTAAACACTATTTCTAGTGAACAATATACTAGTGCGCTAATAGGAACTAACTAAGAAATATACCTTACAAAGTAAAACTCAATTACTCGATAAGATATTATCAATTAAAGCAAAGTAATTGACAAGGTATAAAAAGTAAAGAGGAAAGTACCGACAACTCCAGAATTCCTTCGACTCTTTCTCCTTTACTCTCTCCCTATTCTAAGTATACATAAATGATAAAAAAGCATCTTGTAATTTAGCTCAATTTGGTGTGTGTTGAAGTGAAGGAGGATATGTCCTTTTATAGCCTGAGTATGACGGTTGGGGTGCCAATACCGGTAGTAACCGTCATTGGAAGGCGGTTACTACCGACCTTGGCCGACCCCTGGCTAGCTTCCCTGGCCCATTTCTTCCTCCTGGGCTCTGACAAGTGGGTCCCTAGTCCAGTGGTGTGTTGATTGGGCCCAATTGTATGTGTTTCGATGAGTTTGTGGGCCTAAGACTCTATGGATGTAATTCTCCTCCTCTTTTATGTATATTTTGTCTCAACTTTGGTAGTTTGTCACTTGCATCCAAATATACACCAACACTAGTGGAAATTCTTAGAATTACACCCTACCACTATATTGGATGTTTTATATTTTTCAGATTTATGTAGGTATTGGCGGCGTAAAACTGGTATTTAACAGCCGCCAACATGTCATTCCACAAACATCTATGTGCAAATTTAACCTATAGAAGTAAGAAAAACAACATATATGATTGCAATGGTTCACGTTCTATTCACAGTCAACTTGTATAGGTCGAATTTGATGATGAGATACACTTGATGCTTGCAATGCACCTTGAATTAGTGGAAAAGGAACTCCAAATATAAATTCAATTTGTCATGGGATTATAAATAGAGGTAAAAAAAGTGAAACAACATACAAACATGTATCACTTGATGAGCTAAACACTTTATATGCTATTAATTACCACTGTACTTAAATATATGATCTATTGATTTTATTTGGTTTTGGTATGTAACTTGGAACACTATTTTCCCATTAGAATATAATGATAATATCTTAAAAAAATTGTAATATTGTAAAAGTACTTATCAAAGAAAATTATCTATATGACTTATGTTTTCCACCTAAGGACTTCTTCACTTTATTTCCAAAATCAACCTTACCAATATTTGGCACTATCAAAATTTGGCATATTTTGGTGTTACCAACTTTTTGTCGCGTTGGATATATTTAGTTTGGAACATTTTTAAAATAAGTTTCATAGCTTTTTTATCTGGAACTTCTAAATTTAAGTAAGAACGAGAGGCACTGCTCTGTTCTTTGCTCCATCAACTCGAGGGATGGGGAAATGCTATATACTAAGATAACAGGTGTCGGTTCTTAACAAGAACCGGCACCTATCTCTGACAAAATTTTGGGCGCCGATTTTTAAGTGTGGGCCCTCCAACAACTACTAGCTAGGTGGAAGACTCAAAGGTGTCGGTTCTAGTTAAGAACCAGTACCTTTCTCTGGTAACCTCAAATGTGTCGATTCTATTGTGCGCTCCGCAACGAATAACTCCGATGGGATGTACGTGAAAGGTGTCATATTTTATATGGAACTGACATCTTTCTCGACAGGGAAAATAGGTATCGGTTCTATTTAAAAACCGACACCTATTTGAAGAGAATGGTGGCGGTTTTTGGCGCTTGCTCCTCCGCGAGCGTGGGTGCGTGGGCGGAAAAAGTACTATAGATGCCGATAGTGCCAACCTCTTTTTGATGTTCTGTAAAAGTGTTATATAGCTGCAATACGTTTTTTACGATGACTATTAGTAAATTACACACATTTTAAATATCCTATAGCAAATTTTACCAATCTTAACTCTTGAAAAGACAATCCCAAAAGAGAACAAGAATGTGCCACATCATCATCCA